AATTGCATTATGTTTGAAAAGTTATATGGACAAACGTTTGACATGAGACAATTACATGTGTTTGGATGTCTTTGCTACATTTCTACTATTTCAGCTAATCGAATCAAATTGGATCCAAGAGCTAAAGCTGGTCTTTTTCTTGGTCTCCAACCGAATGTAAAAGGATACATTGGATATGATTTACAAACTCATTCTATTCATGTTTCTAGAAATGTAATCTTTTATGAAAATCAGTTTCCTTTTAAACTTCTCTCTCGAGATAATTTTGATGATTCGATATTCACTCCCGTTTCTATTTTATCACAAAATTATGAGGTTGATAACACTCATGATATTTCCTATCATGCTAATTTGCATAATAATTCTAGTATTGACAATAATACTGATTTAAATCAACATCATGTTGATTCTATTATTGACAATAATGTTGATGGTCCTGATTCTTATTGTAACAAGAATGTAGAAACAGAACATCTAAGACGATCCATTAGACATAAAAATGCCCCTGCTTACTTACAAGATTTCAAACATCGTTTGCTACCAAAACTGAAAGAAAAATACCCCATTAACTCTTACATATCAATGACAAAGTTGTCTTCTTCTTTTCAACATGTTATATCTTCAATTGATTCAAACACTGAACCAAATTCTTATGAAGCTGCATCACAACATGAACACTGGCAGCAAGCTATGACAAAAAAAGTTGATGACTCTCGAACAGAATAAAACCTGGACTGTAACTTCACTACCAAAGGGAAAGCATGTCATTGGAGTAGGTGGGTATATAAAGTCAAATATAAATCTGATGGAATGATAGAACGTTATAAGACTCGTTTGGTTGCAAAAGGATACACATAAAAGGAAGGTTTAGATTATCTACAAACCTTTTCACCAGTAGCAAAAATCACAACTATCAGGTTGCTTCTATCCTTAGCATCTTTGCACAATTGACATTTAAAACAATTAGAAGTAAACAATGCTTTCTTGCATGGAAATTTAGATGAAGAAGTTTATATGCAATTACCTCCAGGTTTTAATTATCCTGATAAGAGTCATGTTTGTCACCTTCATAAATATTTGTATGGCCTTAAGCAAGCTAGTAGACAATGGTATTCTAAGCTTTCTGATTTCTTGTGCTCTCACAATTATAAACAATCTTTTGCATATCATTCTTTGTATCTTAAAATTAATGATTCCCACATTATGACTTTACTCATATATGTAGATGATATTATTTTAACTGGGAACGATATTAATGAAATAAATACAGTTACTACTCTTCTTGATCATGCTTTCAAAATTAAAAATCTAGGCAACTTAACATTTTTTCTTGGTTTTGAAATTGCAAGGAGCAGCAAAGGTATACATTTTTGCCAACGTAAGTACACTCTCGATATCCTGAAAGAAGCTGAAATGCTTGATTCTGCTCCAATCTCTACGCCTATGAATTTTTCCAGACACAAGACTATAGAAATAGGAGAACCCTTCCATGATCTAGCTCCCTTTCGCAGGCTTATTGGCAGGTTAATTTATCTAACACACACCAGACTAGATATTGCCTTTGTTGTCCATTATTTAAGTCAATTCATTGCTGCACCTACAAATCTACATCATCGGGATTCTATGAGAATTCTCAGATATCTCAAACAACACCCTGGACAGGGTATTTTATTTGATTCCACTAGCAACTCCACACTCAAAGCTTTTTGTGATTCTGATTGGGCTAGTTGTCCTGATACTCGCCAATCCATCACTGGCTACATCATCTATCTTGGAAATTCTCCCATTTGTTAGAAATCTAAGAAACAACAGACAAATTCCAGAAGTTCTTCAGAGGCAGAATACCATGATATTGCCTCTACAACATGCGAAATATAGTGGCTTCATCACCTTATGCAAGATCTCAAAATTCAACACAACAACCTTCTCTTTTGTATCGTGACAATCAATATGCGATTTAAATTGCATCTAATCAAGTATTTCATGAACAAACCACATACATAAAAATCGATTGTCACTTAATTAGAGAGAAGATAAAGCAAGATCTCATTAAGATTCTTCACATCAGCACTCATCACCAACAAGCTGATATTTTCACAAAACCTCTTTCCCCTGCTACTTTTAGTAATCTTATGTCCAAGCTGGGAATTCTTGACATATACTCCCAACTTGAGGGGGGCTGTCAAAATAATCAACTCCACAACAAACCTATCACATTCAACCACAACCTTTCATAGGGTTGTTACATTCTGTTTTTTTTTTTTTTTCTGTTACGTTTCCATTCTTACTTCATATATATATATATATATATATATATATATATACCTTTTTCCTCATATTGTATAGAAGAGAAAAATAATACATGTTTCATCTTCGAAGAATGTATATTTTGCTCTTTCTTTCTCTTTGTTCTTTATCTTTGATGAGTTGCATATTGTCAAGATTATCACTAAAATTTTGTCACCTGTTCACTTAATGATCTTTATTTTAAGTTAAGAATGATTAATATAAATTATGAGCTTGTAGGACTCTTGTTTGATCGACCTTAATGAATTAATAGATGATTATGTTTTCTTAATTTTTCCTAGGTCAATCATTCACAGAACTTGATCAATTTAACTATTATGTTTCCCATTATTATATATTTATGGACCTATTGTACTGGATTCTATATACCGAATACTTGTTACTTCTTTTTTTTCTCTTACTCTCACTGCGTTACTTCTCTTATTTCTTCTTTGAAGATGATGCATTAAGGGTTGTTTTTGGAATAAAAGACAGTGGTGTTTGCCAGCACGACTACATTTTAGGACCCTGACTTTGAGATATGTAGCAGATCTATACACATATTTGAAGTAAAAGATCCTTACGAAGGAAGTCCTCATATTTCAAAAGCTCTACGATGGTAGTGAAGGTCTTTCCAATATCTATGCCTCAGAAGCTTCAACAGCTCCTATTATTACACTTAACAAGTTTACCAAAACTTTGCATTGAGGTTGATGTGCTCACAACTCATGCACCTAACATAAAAATAAAAATACTTCTTGTGAAAAGAAAAATCGAGAAGAAATTCTTAAGGAGAAAAAATAAAATAAAATAAATTTATAAACAAGTTAAAAAGATATAATTTAAAATTATCTATAAGAGAACTTTTATAAATTACTTTATGCATTTAGGTAATTTTAATGCAAAGAAAAATTTATTTATTTTCTCTCTTTTAAAAGTTCATAATAAAAAAATTATCTAATAAAGTTAAAATTTAATTTGATGAAAATAAATAGTATAATAACATGAATTAATAGTTAATTTTTCTTTACTTTCTAAAGTATCTTGTTTATTTTATAGAATACACATCCAACTTTAACTATGAACAAATGTAGTGTGTGTGATAGTGACGTAAAACAGGGAAAAGCATCGCCAGAGTAATTATTAAAAATAAAGATGGCGTAACATGGTAACAAGTGGGTTAAATGGCATTTGTTACACGTGGCAATTGTTTAATGTAAAATTCACGTGTCAAAATAAATTATATGTGAAATCACTACTCATATTAATTTTATTATGAATTTGTATTATTATTTTTAATTATACGAAGCAAAAAGACTAAAGATCCATAAGAGAACTTATTTAAGGTGCTATTAATAGATTAAAATCTTAAAGTATTTGGACATGTAGGAACACTTGAAGATTAAACTATTATAAACATCTTTGTAAGTAATTATGATAAATTGAATAATCCTACTTTTATCATACATTAAACACGTCGGATGAATTAATATGTTAGTACGTTTTAAAAAAATGATTTATATAATATTAAAATAAAAATAATTATGATTTTAATTATTATATTTTTTATAATATCTTGAAATATGTAAATATATTATAATATTATTATTTAAATTATACAATCTAATCAATTAAATTTAAAATTATTAATTATAATTTAATATTTTAATATATAAATATAATGATTTTTTAAATTTATTTAATATAAAATATTAATTAATGAATAAAAATTCATATAATTAAAAATGTGTTTTTTAAAATTATGTATACGTAAATTAATAAACTAACCTATTAGTCTATCCAAACAAATTGAAATCTATAATATGTCTTACTTCATTTTTAACAGATGAGAGATGAAACGTATTAATCTATTTTATTCACCCTAAAAGTATGAAAAATATAATACTTATGACATATTAAAATAATAAAAAGAGTAAAAGTCTTAATTTTTACGTGTATTTTAATTAATTGTAATATATATATATATATATATATATATATATTTATTTATTTATTTTATTTTTTTCATGTTCAAATGCACTCATGATTTAGGATAAAAATAAAGTGGAAAAACAATTATAATGATGCACCATTGGTTCTCCTTTCCATCTTTTCTATCAGCACCCTCGAAACAAAACAAGTTTTGTTCATCTCTTTCATCTTAAACGCACATAATTTTAATTTAACTTCTAGGAAGTAAGATAGACATCAAATGAAAGTTGAAAAAGAGAGAATTCATGTCCCCCATACACATACACTCTGGCTACAAAGAAATATAGCTATGACATTAAACAGCTTTAATGCTGCAAATTAAAATCTCTACAATTACAAGCCTAGAGAGAAATAAAAAGAGTATATCTGGCCAAATTGTGTAAAATCATGAACAAAGATAGTCATCATTAGTATTCAAAGCGGAATGAAATTACTTTGGACAATCTGTGTGTTCCTCTCACTATCATAGACACCAAAGGATGCCTAGATGGAGAAGAGTGAGGTTTGTTATGTCAATAGAATCATCATAAATCTAAAGGTATAACAGATTGGAGTAGCTTTACATTCTTGGGTTAATGCACTGCATTTGCTTCTGTCAACATGATTGTGACATTATTTTAGGTTAAGCTACTTATTCAGTTGAGCCAATGGACTTTTTTGTCCAAGACTCAAACATGTAGCAATGAAGTTGTACCCAAAACCTGCCATAAGTGAGGCTTAACTTACAATTCAAGACCATCATCTGCACCAACCATGACAACAAGCCAATTAGTTTTCTAAATATCATGAGAAAAATGAAATTCAAAATAATGCTATTGTATATAAACATCAGTAGCTTACCACCTATAAATACCAAAATGCATTAGGTGAATTGATCCTTATCAACACAAACCATAATATTTTCAGGGAACTAATAATATGGAAAGCTAGCTCGATTATTACCATTACCCCAAACAAGCATGATTATGAACATTTCAGTTTTCTAACCTTTGGAAGAAATTCCATCATCCTCATCCAATGGAGATTCTGATGTAGGAGAGGTTGGTGAATTACTGACATATTCCCTAGCATCAATCAACATTGCAATGACCTCTCTCATTGTAGGCCTATTAATTGGTGATGTGCTGGTGCAGAACAGGGCAATTTTGAGAATAAGAGACATTTCTTCAACTGTCTTTGGAGCACTAAGATTCAATCTCTTGTCAAATAATTCAGATGTTGGTACTGATGTTTGAATTTCCCTTCTCACACAAGTCACCAGGTCACCACCTTGTTCCAAAGGTTGAACAGGTGACCTCCCAGTAACTAGTTCAAGCAAAACTACCCCAAAGCTATAGATGTCACACTTCTCAGTCACCTTCATGGTGTAAGCATATTCTGAAAAAGTAATCAAGCTACCATAAGAAAAACAGAAGGATTACAATGAGTATAACTGCTGATGAAAATACCACAAGGCATTTTTCATACACACAGTCAAGACTCAACAATTTAGCTATAGTTCCAGAACTAGGTAAAAATATGACATGTTTAGCACACCATTAAAATCAACTCTTAATAATTTTCGTTAAACATTTGCGGATTAATAACTTTTATTCTGAAAACATGTCTTCTTGTGGCATGCATTGTAATAATATTTTTCCTAAAAATCATTGCCACATCTGATTAAAACCAATATTGTAAAGTCAATCACAACAAAAGATTAAATGGGACTCAATTACTCTAACAAGTAAAAATACTATAATTACTCCACCTATGTAAAGAACATTTTCTTACCTGGGGCAATGTAGCCATAGGAACCAGCCACAGCAGACATGGATTTTGAGAAAGAAAAATCAATCAACTTTGCCAGGCCAAAGTCTCCTACGTGAGCCTGAAACACCTCATCAAGTAATATGTTGTTTGACTTTATGTCACGATGAATGATTTGAGGTTTGCAATCATAATGAAGATAGTATAAGCCTTCCGCTGCTCCAAGAGCAATTTTATATCGACTACTCCAATCCAATGCACAAGTGGTTGCACTTGAATGAAGTTGTTCCCCAAGGCTTCCATTTTCCATGTATTCATATAAGAGAAGATTAGAATCCTCGTGGTAGCAAAATCCATACAGCTTCACAATGTTCTTGTGCCTGATCTTTCCAAGGGTTGAAATCTCGGCAAGGAAGCTTCGGTCAACACTATTTGTTCCCTCTCCTCGAGAATTCAGCTTCTTGACAGCAATCACTTCACCATCACTCATAACAGCCTTGTAAACAGTGCCACAAGCTCCTCTTCCTAGAACTGCATTTTCTGAAAAATTGCCAGTGGCTTCCAACAGATCCTGGTATGTAAACCCTTCTTTAGGAAAGTAGTAGTTATCCAAGACATTAGTCTTAGTTTGCCCTTCAAGTGAAACAAAAGCATCATGGCTTCGGCGCCTCATGGCCAAACATATGCACACTATGAAAATAAGAGAAACTAGTCCAATCACCCCAGAAACAATGCTCACTATTTTTTCCCTTGAGGAACCATTTCTGATCCAGCTTTGTTTCCCAGCATGAAAGGAAGATATAGATGGATGGCAATGACTGGTACCGACTCGGCACAAACCGTTGTTCCCCACGAAGTTAGTGAAATCCATCTTTCTAAATGTATTGGTGTCTGGAACAGTTCCTACTAGCTTGTTGTTAGATACATTGCATACGACAAGACTGAGAAGGTCACCAATTGATGCAGGAATCTCACCAACAAGTTGATTGTCATTTAGGTAAAGGGACTCTAGCATTTGTAAGTTCCCAAGACTGTCAGGAATTGAGCCAGAAAGTTTGTTGTGGCTCAGGTTTAGAGCGATCTGAAGAGCTGCAAGTCTTCCCAAATGAAAAGAGATGCTTCCTGAAAACTGGTTGCCACCCAGTTCGAGGTCTGTGAGCCGAATAAGGTTCCCCAAACTGCCTGGTATTTCTCCTGAGAGCATGTTATCAGAAACTTTCAACAGTTCCAAGTTCACCAGGCTGCCAATTTCATTTGGAAGCATACCAGTGAAGTGGTTCCTGCTAAGATCAAGCCTCTGCAGTCTAACACAGTTTCCCAACTCATGAGGTATGCTTCCACTGAAACGGTTAGAGGAAACATTGAATGTGACAAGTTGTGTCAAACTTCCAATCTCAGAAGGGAGATAGCCTTCAAAGTAGTTAGCTGACAAGAGAAGCCTCTCTAGATTCCTAAGTTGGCCTATCCCCGGGTTTATTATCCCCGAAAATCTGTTCTGAAAGAGTTCAAGTGCAGTGAGATTGTGAAGGTCATACAATTCAACAGGTAGGCTTCCTGTCAACAGGTTGTCCCCCAGCATAAGCTGCACAAGAGATTTGCACGTTCTGAGGCTATAAGGAATATTTCCAAGCAACCTATTTGACCCAAGGCTAAGGAATTGCAGCTTCTGATATGCACAAAGATGAACAGGTATCATACCAAAAAGGTTGTTTGCAGATATATCAAGAATAGTAAGGTTTCTAATAGCTCCCAGCTGAGGAGGAATCACACCATCAAGATGATTGTCAAATAGCTGCAAATCTTCCATGTATGTAAGGTTTTCAAACTCCAGTGGAATTGTACCTGTCAAGTTATTTAGTGACAGGTCTAATTTTCTTAACACCCTCAACTGACCAAGCTCCCTTGGAATATGACCCTGCAGATTGTTTTCAAACAAATGAAGCAAGCTAAGATTAGATATTAGGCCCAACTCCTTGGGAATGATCCCAATCAAATGGTTTTCAGATAGGTCTATCTCAATAGCATTTGTGCAGTTTCCTAGCTCTGGTGGAATTGTTCCATTCAACAAGTTGGTGTACATGTACAACCTCTTCAACTGGGACAGCTTTCCGAGTTCCCTGGGAACACCACCAGTTAGTGAATTTTGGTGCAAAGCGAGCAGTTCCAAGCTACTAATGTTTCCAATCTCAGGAGGAATCTCCCCAGAGAAAGAGTTTTGCCATAGAAGTATAGTGGTGAGGTTCTGAAGCTTTTGAAGCTCCCTTGGAATGGAACCTTCTAACTGATTCTGTGCCAACCCTAATATCTCCAAGCTCTCACACTCACTGATTTCAGAAGGTATTGGCCCGGAGAGGGCATTCAAACCTGCCCTTATAACTCTAAGCTGCTTCAACTTTCTTATTGAAGAGGGAATTCTCCCAGTTAAATTATTGCTATAAATGACTAGCTCCTCAAGTGACACCAAATTCCCAAGCTCCTCTGGCACTTCATCATACATATAGTTTTCACACAGGTAGAGCTTTTTAAGTGTTGTGATTTTCCAAATAGGGGTCAGAAGGGGTCCATGAAGCCTATTTGTGCAAAGGTCCAAAACCTCCAAACTACCACACTCAACAAAACCATCAGGAATAGGGCCAGAGATGAAATTTTTTGACAAATTCAACAAAAGCAGCTTTGGAAGATTACAGATTGTAGGAGCCAAAGTACCAGACAGATTAAGTTGGTGAAGTTTCACAGAAGTTACTACTGAACCCGTGCAATAAACACCAGTCCAATTGCAAGGAGTCAAATCAGAAGAATTCCAGTTATAGAGATTGTTGCTTGGGTCAAGAAGGGAAGCTTTAAACATCAAAAGACTTGAGCCCTCTTCATTAACCGAATTCACAAGCACAATGCCAAGGCAAAACAACAGCATCGTGTAAACCCCATTCAGGAAATGAAAACCACACTCCAATGCCATAATTTCTCTCAAACAATCCAGAAAAGCACAAGGGGCTGCCTTATTTGGCCAGAAAGAACAATAGCTGAAATTATTGAACCAACAGAAGAGATAATAAGGAAAGGTTTCACAGAAGCAAGTGTGAACACGGGGCAATCGAGAGGTTCAAGACAAAGCAGAAGATGACAGAAAAAAGAAAAGAAAAGAAAAACAAGAGTACCGTGTTGTGAAAGGAAGAGAATGCTTGGTGGTGAGAGAGCAAGCAAGTGATTGAAGCTGAAGCCAATTTCGAAATTTTTAACAACCCATTTGGTTACAAAGAAAAATAAATAGACCCACCTAAGCAATCAATACAAAACACCAGGACAAGAGAGAAAAAGAGAGAGAGAGACTCCATGACACAGCACAACTCAACAGTGACATTTAGAGAGAGAGTAAAAGGGCACATAACATTGATTGATGAGGGCATGAAAGTGGAGGTGAACCGTGACTTGAGGATGGATGAAGTTGTGGGTCAACCCTACGTTGTTATTGTTGTGTTGAAGGCACTTTACAGCGAAGTGGCATGAACTAGTTGTTGTTGTGGTTGTTGCTGTACGTGTTCAACCTCTGGTGTGTGTTGTGTTGTGTTGTTTCCTCTGGCTTCTTTATTCTTGGTTGGTGTTCTGGCAATCCACCACCTTATGCTTTGGATTCCATACACTGTTACTATGATTCATGTTTGAAAGATTGAGTTGACGGGTTAACTATAAACGGTGCGGATTGAGAGGGACATGACATGTAGATTCCTCAGGATCACGATCCCCGCCATTGTTGCTGGGCCTGCCAATATGCCAAAATACTCAAAAACAAAGAAAAGAAAAATTTTGTGGGAGTTTTCCTGCTTCATGTGTTGAGTCAGGACAGTAATCATTTCACCTTTGGACTTGTTTCTACTCAGTGCCATAGTGCCTAATAACAGTTCATTCCCTACCTATCTTCCTTGCCTTGCCACTTCCCTCATACATTATATTACACTGCTATAATAAACTTCTAATCTTATTACCATATGCATCAACAAAAAGGATTGCTTCTTCTCATCTTTAATATAAAAATGGAGTTTTCATAACATAAAAAACATATTTAAACTTCAATCGAAAAGGAATTCAAGTTTAGAATTCGTCGGTAGATTCTCTTAATAAAGTGTGTGGATATGTATATTGTATATAATGGAAAATATTTTAAGTTAATTATATATCGTTTAAATCAGCAATCTTGTAAGTTATTTTAAAATCGTACGGTAAATAGGTATAAAAAATCCGTCACTTAAAATAAATTAGATTTATTTGTTCCATTCAGTTTAAATTATCATCTACGTAAATTTAGATAAACCAAGTTTGTAGGCTTACGACCCGATTTATTTTATAAAATCATAATAATTTTTGAAATAAAAATTAAATATAATATTATTATTATATATATATTATAAATTAATTTGATAAATAATTCACTTATTTTAATAATAAATAAGAAAAAATTTATACCATCACTTATTTCACGAATAAATAATTAAAATTAATTATTATTTTTAGATCAATAAATTACTAAAAAATAAATAATAATAATAATAATAATAATAAATAAGTTTTAAATTTTTATTTTAATATTAAATAAATATTTTATATTATAATTTATATATTTAAAATAAAAAATAATTTTATTAATATAATTTAAAAATTATTTTTTAAAATTTTTATTTAAATATTTTTAATTAATTATTTTCATTTAAACACGTTAATACTTTTTTTTTAATTTTCAATAAAATAAAAATTATCTCATTAATCTATTAACTAAAATAAGATCAAAATAAAAATTATGATTTATCTAAAAATATAAGTTAAATTAGATTATAATTTTTTTAATTGACCCATAAAATAAAATTATAAAATCTCAATCGACTTACATGAGATATATATTTTATTTACATTATAATTAACAAATAATATGATATTAAAATATAATATAAATATATCATATCTCTCTTTCATTTTCTCTATTTATTAAATTAGGTTATATTTCTCCTTAATAAATCAAGATTAAAAATTATGTGAATAATTCTTCTCTTCTAAAAAATTTTGTGTAGTGATCAATATTTCATAAACAATTTTTTTTAATTGTTTGTAACTTTTTTTGGCTCTATTTAAGTAAGATTTTTTCAAACGTTTGATTTCAAACTTTCTTATATTTATTATATTTTTCTTCATAACATTTATTAAATTAGTATTTTGTTTTTTAAAATAAAAAAATTATTAAAATTTAAGATATACAAATCAGTATAATGAAATTATCTCATTTATTTAAGTATAGTATTTTTATTTAAAACTTAATTAGAAATATTTTTAAATACTACGTAAGATTATTAGCATAATCTACAATGTAAAAATATAGTATTTAAATTAAAATAATTTATTTAAAATAAATCACAAAATTTTATAATTAATTAAAAACTAAAATATAAATACTTATGATTTTATCAATGAATCTAAAATAAATTGAATATAAAAATATAATTTAACATAAACTAATTTATTTGTCATTTTATAGTAGTTAACTACAAGCATAATTTTATCAAAAGATTATAACTTTATAAGTTAATACTCAAAAAACACACCCAAAAAAAAGTTTGCAACACTCTAATTTAAAATAATTTGTAAATGTGAACCCACAAGGATGTTGAAAACTAAACTAATTTTAAAAATAAAATAAAAAATAATTTGTTGGATTAAAAAATTGAAACTTATCTATTTAATTTGATTTTTAGTTGTTATAATTGAATCAAAATTATAATATATATTAATAAAATTAAAAGATAAAACATATTTATGATAAATAATTAAATCACTTATTTTTTTATTATTTAAAACATATTATTATTTAATTTAATCATAAAAATATATAAAATAAATTAAAATTATAAGTATTACCATTAATTATATATATTTTTTATAATATAATTTTTATTTAATAATTATTTTATTATAATATATTTAAAATAATTTATAATAAATAACATAAAAATCATCTAAAGGTTAAATGTGATCTGAATTTTAAAAACTAAAAATAAAAATTAAATAATATTTAATGTAAATAACATTTTAATATGAAATGGAATAATATCAAAACCAGTCTTATCAACATTTGTGGTGTCATTATTGTGTTGGCTGTTGCTGATAGCATAGTCATCATCTCTCCTCTTTCTCCTCTCACTCTCTCTCTCTCAATCACATACAAATTCCTTCATCTTTTTGTCACGTCACAATTGCTAATATTTTTTTTAAATATCAAAATGATTGAACATTAAATTTCAACACATAAAATATTTATGTGAATTTAATTCAATTAAAAATAATATAATATGATAGAAAAAAGTATTTCCCTTACAAATCAAAATTCTTGTACAATGTCTTAACTAAACACAACATATTTAACATCTGATGTAAAAAAATATAATAATGCGAGTACAAAATAATATAATATTTTTTATTTTAAAATTTTAAAATATTTAATTTATAACTGTTTTTTTATTAAATTTTGTTATTTTTATTAAGATTTCAGCTTAACTTATATTTAACAGTATGATATTAAATTAAGCTTTTAATATATAAAATAACCTAACAAGTATTTAAATTATATTATAATATAACATGAGATAGATGATGTGAGATTTTTAATATATATTTTTTAAAATAATAAAAGATATTTTAAAAATAATTTTTTATTTAAAATAATAATAAAAAATATTTTTTACCTACAATAAAATAATAATTTATATATATAAAAAAAAAAAAAAGATAAACTTTTCATTCTATAGGGATTCTAACATAAAAGTAATTAGGTTGTAATATAAAACCAAGGGAAGTTTTAAAGGAGGGGACTTCGAACATAGAGTAATAGTTGTGTTTTTTAGAATGGAAAGTTTTTCCGACGGTAGAATCCAATATTTGAACACTTATTTGGCTTATGTATGGGAGAAGTGATGATGATAAAATGAGATTTGATGGGCCATGATGTGTTTGGTCAATGTCATTGATTTTATTTGAAAGACAAATTATTGGATATTGTGAGGGGTATGATCGGCCAAAAGTAGTAGGTAGCCAACCATTGGTAGGTATATAGCCTAATTTAGATACCAATTTTTATAAAAATTCTCCTCCAAATTTGTCTCCATATCCACCATCTTCCACTTACCCTTATTAAAAACGCAATTAACTCATACTATTAAGCATTTTAGTAACACTATTAATCATTTCTCATACATATTTAATTCAAAGTAAAAATGATAATTCTCATCAAATCATCGTATTTTTATTTTGGTGGAATTTTATTGCTTTTAGTTTTTTAATTATGAAATTAGTGAAATATAGTTGTCGGATATGATAATTTAAATGATTGTCACGTTAAAATTTATTAGACATGTTGATAAATAATTTAAATAATACTTAAGTTATTATAAAAAGTAATATAAAAATGTAATAAAAAATCTTTAAATGAAAATAAATGATTTTAAAAAATAATGATCATATTACAGATCTCTCTTAATATAACATTTTATATATTAAAATATATTTTAATGTTCATAATTATCTTTTAAACAATATTTCAAACATAATTAAATAATAAATATGTTAATTATATATTATTATTATTATAAATAGTGTACATGTAATTTTTGTAATTTACATAATTTTAAAATAGTCAATCATAAAAATTTAAAAATAAATTTTCGTATGTAACAATTAAAAGTCAAATAATCATTTAAAAAAATCTTAAGATGTATTATTTAATATTTATCTTAATGAGATAATTTAAATTTATTAAATAATATTTGATAGTTTAAAAATATTAATTAATTATATATTTTATTTAATGATTATCGAGTTTTTCTTCAGATTTATTAACAATTATTAATTGATATTAATAAAAGAATTTTATTTTATTGACATCAATAGAATTATTTTCTTTGATGTTAATCATAATTATTT